CCCGCTCACTGAACATTGGTATCTCACGTGTCCTCCCTTAGGTCTTTGCAGTTGCTGACGTGTCTTGTGTCATTCCTAGTGCAAACGTTCTTGCCGCCTTCGATCTCATGGTGGACTGCCGTTACTCCATTCTGCAGACCACGAAGCTCTCTCTCCAAGGTATCCCATCGTCCGAAATTTGAAGTTTGTATTTATAAGCCTACAAGGCACTGTCAAATCAAACACAGTTCTGAAATAAAATAACGACAATGTGCCCAGCCAAATTATAATAATAGGTGATAATGCAGAGTGAATGTTTCATATCCGCCAGAGATTTGTCTGTTTAAAGTAATAGTAACCGATCTTTAGAAAATAGTTGTGCAAATCTAGGGCAATAGAGGACAGTTTGGAGCTACGACGGGACTTTCAGCCCGGATTGCCCGTTAACGGAAAAATGTGCTAAGATGGACCGCCCACGCTTTTGCCTTTTATCCCCTCCCCCTCTCTGCAATATCGCTTTTTCCGTTAACGACCACACCATCTTTGAGTAGTGCTCATTTTTTCCCCTCCAAACATTCTAGGCAAATGATCGCCCCATAAAAGTAGCCCCCACATCGCACCCAATATTTTGCAATATCAATGGACACCATTTAATGAGGAGATAATTTTTTCATAGCTATGAACAAATTTTGGGTGCTGACGCAGTGGAATCTGTCTTCCATTCTGATGGTGCACGTGGACTTTGAACCCTGCCAAGCCTCCTGGTGAGGACAATGGTGCTGAATCTGCAGCCCGCAATCGGCCAATTTTTCAGGTGTCAGCGAGCAACCGTTCGCCGATTCACATTCCTCTGGTAGCAGGCTTGTTGGCGCGTTCGCCAATATTCCTAAGGATGAACCGTTCCGGGTAGCCATTTTCCAGAAGCCTGTTCTGCAACTGTTGGAGTTTCAGGAGAGCAGATCCGTCGTACTCTAGCTGCTTATCCCAGAACTAGATCTCGTCTTATATTTAGAGAAACAAATCTGTGAAAGTTGACGTATTGTCCCGTCCAGGTTTTCTTTCGGAATAGCCTTCGCAGGATAGATCCATCATTTTGCCTTCGCAAAAGGATATCAAGGAACGCAATTTCATCGTCTGCCTCAGTATCTCCAGAAAAGTTGAACGATGGATGCGCGCTTGAACTGCCTAGACGGCCAGGCAGATATTCGTTTGGTTGAGATCAAGCTTCCTATTGGACGTCCGTACTGTACGTTGATTGGCTACTTCCTTGGCTTAAATCACTTTAAGTCACTTTATTAAGGGAAGAAGGCTTTCGCCCCTGAGCTCCCTAAACATAACCAAAAATCGCAAAAAAGGTCCACCGTGACAATAGTACATAATACAAACGTACTGTTTCTATTATTATACTATTGTTGATTGCTTTTGTTTTGCTTACTTTCCTTACTATTTATCGGAATCAAGTCAAGTCAGGTCAAATTTAGCAAAGGAAATGTAGGCAAACGCATTTGAACTCCCTATTGGTACATAGTATTTAAGAAATGCATCGGCACAGCCGAACATTTCAAAGAAATCGTTTACAGAATTGTAGGCGACTACTCGCTTGTTTCAAGTAATACACTCACATGTGGTGAT